TTTTATTTCTTTCATTGCTCCAGCGACAGGCTGGTCATTCAGTAGCATGTTATTTAACTTCATGTTACTGTAAATTATTTATTTTTCTTCCTGTAGTTGATTTTGTGGTAAGGCTTTTCATTTCAGGGGCTGTATAGAGACTGTGCAATAATAACTATCATATCCAGATGTGAAGATACAATGCGGTACACATCTCTATTTCCAGATCAAAGAAGGTCTCCTAATGAAACGATGAAGCATATCTTGATAATAGGATGTTGGACTCTCTGCGATTGTGTGTACCTACAAGGTCAGGGTACACTTAAATAACAGAAGGATGGACTTAGGACTGATGATGAAGGAATGTGCTATTGTAATAACATAGGGGAAATCAGTGGCAGTAGAGAGGACGGGAAATCCTGGAGATGATGGAACTGTATCATAAAATATTTTTAAAATAAAAGTTAGGAAGTAAAGAAAAGGAAGGAAGGAAGGAAGAAAGGAAAGAAAGAAGGAAGGAGAGAGAGAAAAGAAAGGGAAAAAAGGAAGGAGAGAGAGAAAAGAAGAGAAGAGAAAAGAAAAGAGAGAAAGAAGGAAAAGGAAAGAGAAAGAAAGAAAGGAGTTAAGTAAGTCAAAAACTAACAAATCAAGGAAAGTGAGTCTGTGGGAGTTAGAGGGACACAGACAGAAATGAATAAATAAATAATATAATTTGGAATTGCACCTACCAACTACACATCTAGTAAAATCCAATTAAAATTTTGAAACAAAAAAACATGTTTCATTTTGAAAAGAGCCAGGCCCCCACCTATGCTCACAATCTCTCATAGGCTTCTTCTCCCCAACCTCTCACCAACACAGAAGACTACATGGCACAGGCTGGGGTGAGCCAAGCCAGGTGCCAGGGCACAGCTGTGTCATCGGGCACAGCCATGAGAGTCATTTCCGAGGAGTCTGGTCTACTTACACAGCAACAAAGTGCGCTCTTCACTGAGAACAAAAAGGAAACTGTCATTAAGGCCTAACATGTTGAAGAATTATTTTGTTTTTATTTCTATTTGAATGGTAGAATTAGAGGAAGAAGATAAGAGAGACAGGAAGAACTTCCATCTGCTAATTCACTCCCAAAATGACCAAAATGGTTGGAGCTGAGCAGAATTGAAGCCAGGAGCCAGGAGCTTCTTCCGGGTGTTCCACATGGGTGCAAGGTCCCAAGGACTTGGACCATCCTTCACTGCCTTCCCAGGCCACAAGAAGGGAGCTGGATCAGATGTAATGTAGCCATGACACAAATGGACACCCAGATGGAATACCATCCCCCACAGGCAGAAGCTTAGCCTACTATGCCATCACTAAACTGCCAGGCCTAACATGTTTTGACTAAACTGCAACTATACACATTTACTCTGTTCCGACAACTAACAACAAGAGAAATCACTCATTGCAAGATATGCAAAGTCCTAGTATAATCACTATTACATGACCTCTCAAAGCGCTTACAAATGTGTGTGGAGACTTCCATGTAGACATTCATGCCATCTTGTTTGGTAAGACATAAACATCTTAAATCCAGTAAGCCAAAGGAAACACAGACAGGGAACCCTTTCTCAACTCTGCCAGGCCCCAGACTTCATGACCTCTGCCCAAACCTACATCTGCCAGCTCCCATCCTCTGCAAGGACGGGACAGAAGCAATGGTACATCAGTACAGCTGACTCACACTCTCGAGTTTTCACAAGAAAACAGGAAAAGCCGTTTCAAGATAAGTTTCATTTTCCAGAATCAGGAAAACTACCTGCTGTAGTTTCATTTCCGACATTTAGGTCCAAGGTACCACAGCAAGAGCACAGCCACGCCTTAAAATATTTGCTGCCCTTCGGCTTCTCTCTCCATTTATAGGCCTGCTCAGCTCCGACAGACATCCACAGCGCACACGGGTCAGATCTCTGAGGTCGCCATCCAGCCCTGGGATCCCCGCAGAACCCCTGCACCTTCTCACAGCAGCCATGAGGTAAGGAGCTTCAGCTTCTCTGCAGAAGGGACACAGAGGCATTCAAGGCAATGCTAGCAAATGCTGTCTTACCGGTTGGTCTCCATAAGGTCAGGTTTGCTCAAGACTCTTTCCAAAAACTTGTTTACAGGCTGAATATGTTGGCATGTGTGTGGACCTCAGGAGACATCGTCATAACACACACAAAGGACTTTCTTCACACATGTGCATCTGAAGTTTAGCTCATACTGGAGCTACCAAGAGGGGAGGGAAATGGCCAAGGAAGTCTTGCAAGAGAGGAGCAAATTATCCCAGGCTCAGGGATTCTGTTCCACTAAGTGTCCTGTGTCCTGTCTGTGGAGGGCTGGGCAGCTCGTGTGAGTACACATTCTTTCTGCTGGTTTCCCACCAAGGAGGAAGTCCAGAACCCTTGGGCTGTGGCATATGCACTGTGGGAAGTGCCGTGTGAATGTCCCCCTGCATGGCACGTATCTGCCCTCACTTGGTGCCCACCTAGGACCCTGGGTCAGTGTGAATGCCTTCTAGATTCCCAGGTATTTCTTCCCAGGGCATCTCAGGCCATCTGGGATCACTGACAGTTTGCTCAGCATGATTGCTAGTTGGAGTTCTGTGCTTGGGAACACCTTCATCTCTTTGACCCTGGGGAGCTGGGTGTGGGAATTTCTATCTGTTTCCAACTGGGCTGGACTCCATTCATTCTTGCTATCAAGGAGCTTAAAAACAGTAGGTGGGATTCATTTGCACAATTCCCTCCAGTGTGCCAGTGACTGACACTGGGAAGAAGCACATGTTTTGGGAAGTGTTCAGCTGATTACTAAGCTGGGATCAGCTCAGCTCCATACTTACAGCACTCACTGGTGATGAAAGCATCTAACTGTTACAAAAATTAACTGTCATTTCCTGAATGCTTATCAAATGCCAGCCTCGGTTCTAGAAGAATTCAGCAAAGTAAGGTAAGCACTCTTTCAGCGAACAGCAGTGTGGGTACTGATTGACATCCTCCTGACATTTTCTTCCCAGAGACTGTGATTGCAACAGCTATGCATGAACTAAGCTTTGACTAGAGTCAAGGAAGTCCAACAGGAGAGCAGAGCTTTAATCTGAGGTGCTAGAGTAAGAAAGGATACACTGAAAGAGGATAGCATCACCCACATCAGCCCCAACTCCATCCCAGGCACAGCCACGGGAAGACAGACACCTCAACTAACAGCAGAGGGAAAAGGAACTAAGCAACAGACCTGCGAGTGTACAACGCAGGGCTCACAGGACCATCTCAGGCCCACCCCACAGATCAATATATGACAACTGAGACTTTCAACCCTCCTTAGTCAAGGTGCCAAGGGATGGCAATCACCAGTAGTCTCATGTCTCAGCCAGTGCACAGTGGAACAAGATTTCAACCACACGGGAGTCAGGCAGGAAAGTCAGCCTAGAACTTTGAAATTTTGAGATAGGCCTGCCACTATGAGACTGATAAAACCCAGACACTTTTCCTATGGGATGAGGGCCCACAGACAGGGCATCTAGATGATCCTCACATCCAAGGCAGATCTCTGCCCTGACAGCACAGAAATGACTTGCTTGTATCATCACCAGGCTGCATAGCCCTGGCACTTAGTGAGGTTTAAAGCCTCCTGATTCCACAATGTGCTATAACAGTTCCAAACCTGCAACATCAATTTGCTGAAATCTCAACACAGGCTGCCATGACACTGCAACCCACATTCTTAATGCTGCCAAAACCAGCGTCACAGAGACAAGGTCAAGGTCTGCCACTAGTCAGAGCCATATGGGGACTAGCTTGAGTCAGAATGCAGTAGGTTCTGGGAACTCTGCCAGCAAAGTCAGATTCCAGAGAAGGTGGAAGAGCAGTCACTTGACTAACCAGAGAAAGCAGAGAAACACAAAAACTTAAGCTTATCTCCATGTGGTTTCTCCATAGAAAGCCATCATGCTTGGCCCATGAGCTTCTACCAGCCAGCCCAATCCAAACAAACAATATCTACCAGTCCCCCACATTTAGTTACCATAACTTGATGAAACCTTTTCCCCAAATCATGAAAGGATGTTACATTCTGTCAAACACTTGACCATATGGGTGCATGTGATCATGGTGGTTTTCCTTACCTTCTGTGAGTCTGTGAGTCTCCATAAAATCCATATTACATGGATTTTTCAGACATAGGACCAATGCTTTTGGATGAATTTTCCATTCACATGAAAATCATGAAATGATAAAATGACACAGATGAAGAATATATCAGTAATTTCTAAGCACTAGATGACAATGGGAGTGGAAGGGGAGGAAATCATATGGGTTAACTATAAAACGGTAAAAAGGAGATGTGGTGATGAGGTAGTTTGTGTATCAATTGAAGTAGGAACTCAATCAGTTAATTTGTATGGGAAAAAACATGGAATCACAAAGACACATTGCTCTACTAATGTCAATTTCCTATGCTGACATTGGAGGATAGGTGTGTAAGTTATAATCTTCACGAGAAAACAGAGTGAAGGAAAGAATAAATCTCTGCATTGTCTCTCATTTTTTCCTATTTTACTTATTTCCTATTATGCTTATTTCTAAGAATGGAAAAAACATATTTTAGTAAAGCATCTCTTTTCAGAATTCTTATATTCAGACTAAGATATTATTATGTTTCCTAAGGTTTAGCATGTGTGGCTGGAGTGTACCCTAATTCTGTCCACCACATGATAGGAAACTCATTTAGAATATTAGATTCTATTAATGCTTTGCATAAATATGCTTTATAACTCTCAAACTGAATGCAATCAGCTTTGTTGTATACGGCAGCCAGCAAACAGAGAAGAGCAAGATCTATTCACAGCACAAGCATATCTGAAAAACACCTACACTCAAAACAATAATTCTGTACAATTATGCCCTTTCCCAGGATAAGAACTAAAATTTTGTATGGTGCTTTATCAACCAGTTTCCTTTGGGCTATCTTCCTCCCCAAACACACACATTGCACTCTTGTTCTTGCAGTAGGAATGCTGATGATCATCTGATCAAAGATGCCCTGGAGCAGCTGAGATGTCACTTCACATGGCAGCTGTTCATTGATGATGCTGAAATACGTGAGTTAGAAAGCAGCATCTCAGAAGAGGTTCAATTGCAACCCGAATACAGTGAGGGACTACACAACCTACTGGGCTACATGCAACATCTACAGGGCAGGAATGACGATGCCCTGGATAGTTTGAACAACGCTAGAGAGTCACTCAAGAGAGAGCACATTGACCAATCAGATGTGAGATGCCTGGTGACCTGGGGCAACTATGCCTGGGTCTATTACCACATGCGCAGATGGGAAGACACACAGAAGTACCTGGACAAGGTGCAGGAGATTTGCAACAGGTTTGAAGATTCTTCCCGCTATAGAGTGGAGTGTCCTGAGATGGACTGTGTGGAAGGATGGGCCTTGCTGAAGTGTGGAAGAAAAAATTATGAATGGGCCAAGGCCTGCTTTCAAAGGGCTCTGGAAGTGGACCCTGAAAACCCTGAATTCAACAAAGGCTATGCAATTGCCGCCTACCGCCTGGATCACGCAGCCAAAGAACTAAACAATATCAGTGAGGCCTTCTCCCTTCCTCCCCTCAGAAAGGCCATCAGCCTCAACCCACAAGATGGGTACCTGAAAGCTCTCCTTGCTCTGAAGCTGCAGGATGTGGGAGAGGCAGCAGAAGGAGAAGAGCACCTTAAAAAAGCTCTGACCCATGGGTCCTCACAGACCTACGTGTTCCGGTATGCAGCCAAGTTTTACCGCAGACAGCGTCGTCCAAATGAAGCTCTGAGGTATTTAGAAGAGGCCTTGAACGCAACACCCAACTCTGCCTCTCTTCATCACCAGATGGGACTTTGTTATAGGGATCAAATGATCCAAATAAAGAAGTCTACCAACTGGCAGCCTCAAGACCAGAGCAGAAGAGATGTGGACAGATTGATTCAATTAGCTATAGACAAATTTAAAACGGCTACAACACTAAAGCCCACATTTGAAATGGCTTATGTTGACCTCGCTAAAATGTATGCAGAAATAGGCCAGTACGAAGAGGCTGAGGAACTTTTTCAGATAGCACTAAGCATCAGAAACATCGAGGATCACATCCTGCAAGACATTCATTACCACTATGGCCAATTTCAACAGTATCATAGGAAATCTGAAGACAAAGCAATCACTCAGTATTTAACAGGCTTAAGAATAGAAAAGATGTCCTATGCCAGGGAAAAACTCCTCAAGGCTTTACAGAAAGTGGCAGAAAGATGGGATAGGCAAGAGGTACGAGTTGTGGAAGCCAAAAGCCTCCTTGGGCTCATTCACAAATTGAGAGGAGAGCTGATGGAGGCCCTGCTGTGTTATGAGGAGGCTCTGAGGCTGGCTGCTGACCTCAATGCCATGTTCTGAAATGGGGATCACCACTTTCTAATTAATGTATTCCCAATTAATCATAAAGTAATTTTTCCTAATCTCTGCTATCTGAAGTATAGAACTGAGATGGCCATTTGGTGTAGCACTTGACATGGTGTGGGAGATTTCCACTAGATCTCTGATTGCTTGACCTATTGGGAGGTCATAGGCACACAGCGCAACGTGTCCCTGGAGGAATCCCCAACTATTGTTTTGACTAACAAAGACCTCATCCTAGTCTGTTCATTGGCTATACAGGTGAGAGCGGTAGATTGCACCCCAGTCTCTCTTCTCTGTCCTTGGATGAGCTATGCTGGGATTTCCCTGACAAGCATATCTGAGAAGTAGCTGTGTTCCCATGTTGCCTAAGAGCCACACGTGGTGTGCGTAACATTCAGCTGACCTACAGCCACACACGGTGAACTTGACCTGTGGCATATGTCTGCCAGCCATGCATGCTGTATGTGACCTGTTATGAGATTGGAGAGTCCAGAGAAATAGGCATGACTTCTAGCCAATCACAGTGCCATTGTTGTGTGGGAGGACTGTCAGGAGACTACCTTCTGCCTTCCTCCTTTCTTAGTCTATACAAGTTTGTGCTTGCATTACAATAAACAGTATGTTCAATCAGACTGTCTCCAGTGGTTTTTCCTGCTGAAGAACATGGCTCTGTCTCACCCCCTCAGTGGTCGCAGGGGCCTGATGGTCAATAACTCCTGAGAACATGACACTTAGCCAGACTGCATTCTTCAGCAGGTGCTGTGCTGAAATCCCAGCTGCATTCCCAATGCCAGCTTCTCGCTATGTCACAGCCTCAGGGCCAGAGCTGACTGCAAAAGCTTGTGTTTCTGCCATTCCTATGAGAGACTTGATCTGAAGTCCTGGTTTCTGGGCCAGAACTGGATGTTACAGGCATTTGAGCATGAAACGGGGGTGTTCATCTGTCTGCCTGCCTCTTCTCTTCTACCTCCCTCTCCCCGGAATAAATAAGTAAATACATGTTTTTGGGCATTTTTTCTGTTGCCCTTTCTTTACCCTCACTCTACGTGCCTCTGATGGAGGCATCTATTCTTCTACATAGCACCCTTCCATTCTTTGGCCAAGAGGGTTAATGTGGTTTGGGGCACCAGTCATTTCAGATCAACAAGAAATATGTGCCATCTGGTTCTGCCCAAGGAATGAAGACCTTCCATCTACACATCAGTTTATAATCCACACAGAGGAGACATAACCAAGCGGAGCTTTTTTTTTCATGTGGCCAGGGGCACTGAACTGGCCAGCAAGGTCAGTACAAAGAGCACAAAAATCAGCAGAGATTACACTCGCAGAGATTTGAGGATTCCACTACAGCACCCTAGCCCAGAGCTGCCCTTGACAAGCATCTACAGAAGCTTCCACTTGCTGATGAGTGAGCCAAGCCGGTAACATTACCTTTTGCCATTTCAGCTGCTGGCAGTCACCAGCATTCTTCACGATCCAGACACATTTCTGAACATTTGTGTTCTTCTAGGTTTCCTCAATTTAAGGAAAGATAATGTATAAGGGAAGACATTTTGGATGTGCCAGCTGAAAATGATATATTCACAGCTCAACACTAGTTGCATTTGCAGGGTGATGAGGAATAGGCCTCTTTTTTCTATCTACACAAATATACTCAGCATGAGTGCATTTTCAGGTGAGATTTAAGACTGAGAGTGCTAGCAGGAAGCAGACTTCCTGCAATGGACTGTGGCTGCTTCACTGGCCGAGCAGGCTGGGAATGAGCACTGCCTCCCTGTGCCTCCTTCCCCAAGAGTTGCTTACAGACCAGCATATCCCCTTCCTCAGTTAATTGCTTTGATTCCTAAAAAGCATGTTTACCCTTTTACCTATAGCGTTTGTTATATCATTTCCTTATTAGCTATCATTAGAGGGGCTTTCTGTGGTTGCCTAAATAACCTGCCTAGTATATAAATACACCCTGCCGAGGTCAGTGAAGTATGCATTGCTTCACTCCCCTTGCATCCCCTGTGTCCTGGTCTTTCTCGGCACGTTCGTCACATCTTGGGTCCCAGTCTCCTCAGAGGGATCATCCACATTCTATGTTTTGATGGAAATAGCAAAAGCCTTAAACAATGTATGTGGTCCCATGGAAGAGGACAAACAGAAGACTATGGCATTTCAAAGCCTATGTAGAATTTTTTTCAAGATTTATTTATTTATTTTTATTACAAACTCAGATATACAGAGAGGAGGAGAGAAAGAGAGGAAGATCTTCCATCCGATGATTCACTCCCCAAGTGACCACTACGGCCGGTGTTGCAATCTGAAGCCGGGAACCCAGAACCTCTTCTGGGTCTCCCACATGGGTGCAGGGTCCCAAAGCTCTGGGCCGTCCTCGTCTGCTTTCCCAGGTCATGAGCAGGGAGCTGGATGGGAAGTGGGGCTGCTGGGATAGAACCAGTGCCCATATGGGATCCCAGCACTTTCAAGGTGAGGACTTTAGCCACTAGGCCAAGCTGCCGGGCCCCACCTACACAGAATTTTTAAAAATATCTGGCAGGTAATGATTTATTTCTACAAGCCAAGGAAGATTGACTCTTGTCACCTCGATCCCTGATTGCAGGAATTTCCAATTTTCAGATATTAAGATGGAGTGTTATTAACTTGGAATGAAGGGAAATACTACTCTAAGAATGTTGTCTTCGCCCCTTGAGAAATGTGTGACTTTGGGTTTACCTACCACTCCTTGAATACCTTCCCCACCTATGACTGCAATAGACCCCTTGTCAGGGAATGTTTGCCTCCCCTCACGGTAGAAAGTGAAGGGAGCAATCTCAGAATACAGCTCTGCTAATAGGAAGACATACAACATTCTTCCAGTTCTCGTGCAACACAACTGGAAGCTTTTGGTATGGCTTAATATTGTTAACAGTGAGGAGTGGCTTGAATTATCAGCCCAAAGACTGACAGAACCAGCCATTTGACCTAGCACCATTTTGAATACCGTTTCCTCTACATCTCATCTGCCTTCCACTGTTCATGTCTGCAAACTTCATGCCCATTAGGTTCAAAATTACTTGCCCACCAAGCTGCTGTAACCTGGTAACTATGTTCCCACCAATCCACTCATGACACCATACCTGATGGCCCTATTCACCAATCTCGTGGGGCCCTTCCCCCTTAGACCCTGTCTACCAGTGCACCTGCCAATCCTCTGAAGTGCCAACAGTCCTATGCACCAATCCCTCATGGCCTGCCAACGGCCATATCCGCCAATCACTCAGAGTAGCCTGCTCCCAATACCTGCCCTTTGTTCATAGCATGGGTTCCTGGGTGTGCTCTCTCTGCCTCTGCTTCTGTCCCTGAAGCCATCTTTCCCTGCTGGATTAAAATCTAGCTGGTAGGGGAAGCAGAGGATGGGGTGTTGGGGATGTGTCCCAACAGCATAATTTCTCAAGTCCTTGCCGTGAACACACTGGAATCCCATATGGGCACTGGATCTGATCCCGGCAGCTCAACTTCCCATCCAGCTCCTGCCTGTGGCCTGGGAAAGCAGTCGAGGATGGCCCAAAGCCTTGGGACCCTGCATCCATGTGGGAGACCCAGAAGAGACTCTGGCCTCCTGGCTTCAGATTGGCTCAGCTCCAGCCATTTTGCCGCTTAGGGAGTGAATCAACAGACAGAACATCTTCCTCTCTCTCTCTCCTCCTCTCTCTCTATATCTGCCTTTTCAATAAAAATAATAAATAAATTTTTACAAACAAACAACAAAAACCTCCTGAGGGACACCCAGCTCTAGTATTCGGGTTTGTGGCAACAAACTGAAAAGAGCTAACACCAAAAACAGAATGCTGAAAAGAGCTCACAGTAACTGTTGGCAAAATGCAGACACAGATGCTCTTGGCAAACACAATTATTGACTCCTGACTGGAATCAGGACAAATGCAACAAGGTCTCTCGGGTGGTAAATTGTCAGGAAATTCAGTTTCATTTTAAGGAAAATTAGATGACTATGTAAACACTTCCAGTACTCCAGGTACTGGAACAAAGGTGCTTTGTCCTTATAGGTCTAGTTCCATGAGTGTAGGAGCTTCTGTGTGAGTGTGCATATCAGTGTGCAAGTCTACATTGGTGAGTGAGCACAAGCAAAGTCCTAAACAGGCAATTTCAAACCACAGCAACTCTCCTCAGCCTGCAAACTCAAGAGGGATTATAGAAATCCCAGGGTGGTTGCTGAATGTCTGGGAAGTACTGATGCTGTGTGTGGTCCCTACAGGGATCACTGGGATACACAGGAAAATCAGAAAGTACACAAAATGCACATTTACCTGCTTAACTTAAAATGACAACAGGGATATTAATGAACAATTACAACGCTAATCTATGAAAAAGAATGGGACAGCAGAAACTGGAGTCCTCCTTGTATAGGCACCACGTAGTATTTCCACTAATTTCTAAAGCCAAAATCACACTTGAAGAAGCAATCCCCACATGCATCCTTGAAAGTGTTGTTCTCTGCCTAATAGAGGAGCTTGAGGAACTGCTTTGCCAGGATGCAATCCCTGCAGGTCAGCACACAAAGAAGAACCAGGTCAGGTTACAGTACCTACCAGCATACTTGTGGCTCAGGTCTGGGGACAGGCCAGGCTAGGCCAGTTCATAACACCCACTGGAAGATCTGAGAACAAGGACAGACCACAGGACAGGCTGAGTCAAACCACAGCACCAGCTAGTTCATGTTAGGGCTAGGACTGGGGGCGGACTAGGCCAGAATGGGCAGCAGCACCCACCAGCATGAGCTGCACCTGGGGACAGACCAAGCCAGTACAGGCTGCAGCAGCTGCCAGCATATGCTAAGGTGAGGTGGGCCATACCAGACTGGGTCACAGCACCCACCCACCCACACATGACATGGGCAGATGGGGTGGCAGTGCAAGCTCATTAGGGGAGCTGTGGGGACTCCCTTGCTGGACCACTACTCCTGCTGGTGAGTGTGAGAGCTGGGATCAGGGGCAGACTG